ACCCATGGTCAGCCTGGAGGTGGTTTGTCAGGGAATGATTCTACTAAACTACAGAATTATGTGAACCAGACCTGTTCTGTAAATAACTGTATGTTAGATCCACAAAGTTGTCCAGTCTCAGCTTCACAGACACATGTTACTCTCCATGCAACATAGCCATGAACCTGAAATGAATCAGCAGTCTGAGGTATATATGGCACAGAGTATGTAAAGGACCATGAGAACTACGAGTTACTCTGTAGCTTGACTCTAGCTTGGAAGGAGCATGGAGTGATTTTCCATGGAGGGTAGGAATGTGTCAAAGGAGGCTGTCTCAGGCCATGCTTAGGGAGCGGGGCAGCCTCTCTTTTCTGATGCATTACTTTAGCTGTGCATGAATCCCCTGGAGCCTTTCAGGAATGTTGCTGAGATGAGCATTTAAGCAATGAAACCCAAAGCATGCATGCTTCAGAGGCTGCAGTGGGTAGCTGAGGAAAACTAACCATAGGTTTTGATAGAGAGAGAGGCTTTTCCATGTTATAGCTTATGACAGCAAGTGGAAAATGCTTCAGTGAGGCAGGCTGGCACTTAAAATCAGAGCACAGTAATAACCAGAAGTGCTGAAGTCAACAGGCTTCTTAGAAGTATGGTTGCCATCTGCTGAGAGAGCCTTTCAGAGTGGCCACAGACATGCATTTGCAACCACAGCCAGTTCATGTTTTCCTTAAATGTGGGACTGTGACCTTGATTGACGCCAGCAAGAGCTGAGCACTTCCAGAGAAGGGAGATCTAGTTCATGCAGAAATCCAACACAAGTAGGACATAGGTGAAGGAGAACCAAGGTATGTGGGCTTACACATTACACTCAGTTTAGGTGACAGTGCTGTTCATTATCTCCTGGGCGTGGAGATAATGCTCCCCCCCCAAAAAGAGAGAGAGAGAGAGAGAGAGAGAGAGAGAGAGAGAGAGAGAGAGAAGAAAGAATATAAAAGAAAAGAAAAAGAAGAAAAAAATGACCACAAGAAGAACTAACTTCTGGTGTGTGGACTAAAAAAGATAAGTGAGGGTGTAAAGAGTCTCTGAGTGATATTCAGTGATTTGTATAGTATCAGTGAGGCACCAGGTGACCTGGAGGAATTGCTCATCAACAAAAGAGAAATGGCCGACTTTTGTGCAAAGTGTTGTGCCTCTCTGGGTCTTGTGGTTGACAGTTGTAAAACAAGAGATGTGGATTGAATGTTCCCAAAGAAATTTTGTCTTAAAGTTCAGTGAAGTAAAGACAGGTTAAAGTAGCAAACAGAACAGTAGTACATCTTTACAAAGATGTAGTCAGAGGTTCAATTATGTCAAGATTTGATCCCTAGAACTATGTGCATCAATATAGGCAGTAGGGCCAGGGCTAGCTCATTTATGAAGATAGAGACCTTCTGAAATCAGGAACAGGAGGGGATTATTGAGAAAGAAAATATTGGCAAGGGAAAAATACCAAAGGAAACTAGGGTCTAAGTATAATGAAGAGTGATGCTGATAGCTAGTTTCTGTCATTTCCTTCCTTGTGGCAAGAGAAACTTGTTAGGAAGGTAGACATATCATGTGATCCAGTTAGTCATGCTTTGCTCAGCTCCCTTTTGTTTTGGAGGAACACTCCTGGCAACAGAGCATTCTCTGATCTTCCAGTCATGCGTCCTAGATGAAGTGACCACCACTTCTGAGAGCTCTGGCCTGTTTCAACATTGACCAATGGCTATGTGGGTACATTTCATTTGGAATTCATTTTCCTTTGACTCTTTCAGTAAGCCACACTCCCAGTTTAGCTTTAACCAATAATAGTGAAGGTAGCTTAATATCAAATGTAATTCATGATCAGAATTTTTGTACAAGAGTCCCCAAAAGATGGAGTTTATAGAGACAGTAGTCCCTTTATTGCAAAGAATATTGTTTCCCTCTGTATTAGGAAGAGGCATGAATTACAAAGACCTAGAGGTTCTTTGCATTTCAAAGATTCATGAGCATCTCAGCAGGATGGGGTCTTAAAATGAGCTGAGAATAAGCATCAGGTGGAAGACTAGAGAGTTTAGAGGCAAGACTTAGCACAGCTTCCATTCAGACAGTCCTGGAGACTCTGCTGAAGAAAACTAAAGCTTGTCAGTCCAGTGACAAATATACAACTATGTAAACACTAGCTGTGGCAGCACTTGGAGCTGAGGTGGGATTCCAGGGCCAAACTGGGCAGCATAGAGATCCAACTTCTCAAAAAAGTCTATGCCAAATAGCAGGCACTTCAAAACCATCAGTGGTTGGCCACCAGAGAACTACCTGCTGGGGTTGATAGTGATGGTTTTGATAGCCAGCCTGACAGGATGGGCTCTAAGGTAGCGCCTTATACCATACCATGTCATCGACACAAGAGCTGAGAATGGCTCTGTAGGACATAGTGTACTTTTAAATTATATACTGATCCGGTCCATCCAGGTCAGTCAACAGGGTCTAGCAAGAGAGAGAATGGGGATGGAGGGGCAAGAGACAAGAAGAATGGAGACAAGACAGAGTCTGATCGAATCTCGTTTATTGAATGGAAATGCTGGGTATATATAAGCACAAGCAGGGGAACACAGCTGACAGCCCACGTGCGCCTTGCAGCTGGGGCACTAACCAACAAAATAAGATATCTGAGAAAAACAAGATGTTTATCAGAGTGTGCTCAGCTGTTGTAGGATGTTGAAAAACGTCTCCTATCAGGGTATATGATCCGAGATGGCTGCAAAGATGATAGCTGCTTTCTGCTAAGAGTCAGCTCCCAACAATATACAGTCTCAGAAATAAATGACCCATTATGAGAGTCAGCTAATGAGTCTGTGGGAATAAATGCTAAGCTGTCTCTTCAGGTGTTATAGTTTAGACATTGTTCTTTCTCTCTGTCTTCCTCCCTGCCTCTCTCTTTCTCCCTCCACACCCACCCCCATCTGTGCATGCACACATGTCTCTGTGTGTCTGTGTATGTTCTGATTTTTTTTTTTTAAGTGTAAGCATACAGTGACATGATGGGTTTATTCCTATGACCCCTGAACTCAAGAGACAGAGGCAGGATGTTGCTGGGAGTTTAAGCCAATCTGGACTACATAGCTAGTTCTAGAACTACATAGCTAGTTCTACAGTATTTATGAGACCCTACCTCAAAAGCAAGCAAGCAAACAAACAAACAAACAAAAAATCGCAGTCAACAAAATAGTATATATAGTGTGTGTTAACTGCTCCAGATACCTGCAGAATGAACGTCTCAGTGATTTCCCATTATTAGATGCCGTTGATATCACAGTTTATTATTCATAGATGGTAGTTCCATGGAGATTGTGCAGACAGCAATAGACCCTCCCTTACCTTTTCACACACTGCCTTGTCTTGTACCAAGATAGATACCAGCTTCTATCAAACTGCTCTTTGTATCTTGATTTTTTTTTTTTTGTTCCTGTTGTATTTAAATTCACTACCAAGCCAAGCCTGTTGGCCCACACCTACAACCCCATCATTCAGGAGGCAGCGGCAGGAGAATTACTGCAAATGAGAGGCTAGTTTGTCTGTAACCAAAATAAACTCCAAAACGAAATAATTACCAAATATTTTTGCTAGTGAGAAGAGGGGATCTAGGAAGGATTTTGAGGCATTTTGAAGGATTTTGAACTGAAGTTTGGGGGGAGAACAGGATTTGACAAATTGGGCATGAGAGGTAGGAGCCAGACAGAAGTAGCTCTGAAAGAAAGCCTATGCAAAAGGAAGGGAGGAGCCAGGAACACCAGCCCCAATGGCAGACAGGTCTGCTTTGAGTAGACACTGCTATCCCATAGGAGGCCATGCTTCCTAAGGTTGGGTGAGATTTTGATAGGAAATAACTAGGGGCAAGTTAGAAACTCAGGTTGTTTGCTGGGAGGAGATTCTAGCAGGAGATACTTTAATAAGGTCTAGTAGGGGAAGATAAACTTGGAAAGTAAGGGGCAAAGTAGAAATGGGGGACAGTGCTTAATTTATTTAAAGTCAAGCAAATAATGGTTGACAAAGTGGTTGACGAAGAAGTATCTGTAGGGAGTTTTACAATACAAAATTTAAATATTCTCCTTTGTTGTCATCAGGTTTTATTTCTTTCCCCTGATATTTGTCTTTCATCTTTTAGTAAAAGAAAAGCAGCATATGCTAAAAGATCAGGTGCATGTCAGGGGCCGAAATGGTTCAGATAATTCTCCCTTTAGCTGGATTGCTGTCATGTAGGAATACATTTTGATTCAGATCTTTTCTGAAGAACTTGTACATTGTATTACAATGTCTGCTTCTACATTTTAATCTTTCTCCTTCCTTTTATAGATATTTGCATACTTTTTTTTCAAATAAGACCTTTTGTTTGCCACAAGAAAGCTATTACCCAGAATGCTAATGGGTTTTCAGCTATTAAGTTGTAATGTATACCTTGAGTATTTAAATATAAATTTGAAAAGTCTCCATGAGCAATCTCAAAGGAATACTTAGAATGCACTCCTGGTAAATTGGCTCATTTTCCTGTAATTTACTGGAAGTGCTGATAGGAGAGCAGTCCTAATGTGAAAAGTGCATTAATCCCTGGAGTTATATTGTGTGGATTAAATTATTACTCTCAAAGAATACAATGTATGAAGCCATTCAGCCCTCATTCACACTTGTTACTTAGAATCACAGTAGAAAAACAATCACTTAGGTTTTGATGCACAAAATTAGAAGTGATATATTTAATATCTTTTAAAACAAGAGGCAGTAATAGTCTCAGTTTTGCATAAGAATTGCTCTTTTCTGAAACAAGGACTATGTACCTTAGCAGCTCAGAAGTCAGTAATGTGGCTTCTCTCCTGTCAGTCAGAAAGATGAGCTTTCCTTCTTCCCTGAGCAACTGCCACCTTGGAGATTGATAGGTAAGGTAGCCAACCTGTGGGATCTGTAACTGCAGGGACATTTAGGGTCCTATTTGGAATTTTATCTAATCATACTTTTTTCTTTGCCAGGGAATTGAAAGTTGTGGAAAGATAACGTATGCCAGTGGGTGCTTCTTATTTGGTAAGCCAGCCATTTGTGATTCTGAGCTATTAGAGGAGATAAGACGCCTCAGCTGAGATTCAGCAAAGCTACCAACTGCAGACTACACCATGGACATGAAGCTGGACCCTTCCCAGGATGATCTGCCTCTCATGGCCAATACCAGCCACATGCTTGTGAAGCACTACATACTGGATTTGGATGTGGACTTTGGAAGTCGAGTTATTGAGGGTAACATAGTGCTTTTCTTTGGAGATGGAAACAGATTTAAAAAACAGTTGAATTCCACCCAGGAAACCTTCCAGATGGAGTCAGAGGAAGCCTACATATTTAGGACAGCTGAACCCTGCCATGTTCCTGAGGTGGATTCAAGTGCCTTCTCACCTAAGATGGGACATAGAGAATCTGCAGTCTGTGGTAAAGGTGATCAAGATGCCTTTGATAATGATGGTAACCATGACAACCAGGAACATGATTCTGAGTTGTCTAGCTCAAAGTACTGCTGTGACACAGGGAATCATGGGAGAGAGGATTTCTTGCTAGTGTTGGACTGCTGTGATTTATCTGTGCTGAAGGTAGAGGAGGTGGATGTGGCTGCCGTAGCAGGCCTTGAGACATTCACACAAGCTCCAAAGCTTGCAGCTCCTCCTGAGAAGCTCAGGCGTGAGATCGTCCGTGATCTTGTGGCTCTGCCTGCAGGTGCTTGGAGGGAGCAGCTAGACTGCTACATGCGCTGCAGCCAGGCTCCTGGCTGTGGGGAGCTCTTGTTTGACTCTGACAAGTGGAGCTTACAGATCAGGAAGATGGGGGCTCCGACAGCTGCTGACTTTCCTCATGCCATTAGGATATGGTATAAAACTAAACCCGAGGGGCAGTCAGTGGCTTGGACCTCAGACCAGAATGGCAGGTAGGTTATCCAAATGCTTCTCTGCCCCTAGTCGTGTCACGTCAGGGATGCTCTCTAAGAAGAGACCGAGTCTGTGGGGATGCTTCTGCTTGCTCCACAGCCTTGCTCAGACATACTCAGATCCAGACAGCAGGTAAGTCCCCAAGCATGCTCAGCTATTGATAAGATCACCTCCTGTAAGTTAGGATGGGGAAAGTCCTTGATTCAGCTTCAGAATTTCTGAGTTAGGAGCTTGAAATGCCAACTTGGTGCTGAGATGCTGAGCCTGGCTGCTGTACAAGATCACTGGTGGAGACTTCTGGAGCTGCTGATGGAAGTGAGCCACCCTCCCTGACCCCACTGCTGGGAGCCTGGGTGGGTGTGAAGCTAGGCCAATTATGCTGTGTGACAGCCTCACTACTGTCTTCTAGCTATATCTCCCTGGACTTGACCAGTTGTCATTTGATGTGAACCTCCAATGCACAAGAGAGCTGCCTCTGAGGAGTAACACTGCCCACTGCTTTCTTGGGAGGTGGCTCTTGGTCTCTGGTACCAGGAAGATGCCAAATTCTTTGCATGAGGAGATTTGGTGCCTGATACAGGCAGCCCCTTAGCCTTGTCTTGTTGATGTTTTTCAGTCATCCAGACTTTTCTGAATAAGAGAATTTCTAAATCAGGCTTTGTTGATTCTTTACTATTTTACCTATTTCTTTAATGCCAGTCAGCATGGTGAGTCATTGAAGAGGTAGATGAAGGGTACTCGTCTGTTAGCTGCTGTTAAGAACATTTTCTTTGAACTCCTTGATGGAAGTGATGGTCTCTGGCAATTGCTTACATTTCTTCCTCACTCTCCTCCCCACATCCTTTTGGTCTTACCTTTTAAATGCCACTTGACATTGAGCTCTATCTAATTAGCCTGCCCATTGCCTGGAATCTTTTTTCTTGCTCTGGTTTCCAGACCTCTCTGAGGGAATTTACTTCCTGTCTTATTCCTGCTAGAGTTTGACGAAGCCTTTGGAAAGTTGCAGGGTTGGTACAGCATTTCATGAGTACTAAGGCAAAGTGATTATTCATAGTGTACCTTACTGGTCATTCTTTGAAGACTGTGAAAAAGCAGGTATTCTTATTGTAGCTTCACCATTTTTAGAATTACTAAATATTTTTATCAAGATTAACCATATAATGCTATTGAATATTTGAATAGGAATTTGTAGTTTTTATACTCCTAGATGTTTTATCTTTGAACTAAAATTGTGGGAGGAAGGACCTGTTGACAGTTGGAAGTCATGCTAGTAGCCTCAAACATGGCCTTTTACCCTAAGTGCTAAACATAGAGACAGGCTTGAATCTATTGCATATATAAGTCCTGATTTCCCTGGAGAAAGGTCAATATAAGAATTTACTCTTGGTGTGTCTATTTGGCATGATTCAGTAAAGCACATGGTTGTGACGTAAGCTTTTATGACACGTTTTAGATTGTGTTTCCATGAACTCCTAAGAGGATATAATGTGTTGGTTTTAGAAGGAAACCCCAGAGAACTACTCTTTCTCTCACTTTTCTTTTGGTGTATATGTGAGACTGATTGCAGTCAAGACACTGCCTATGGATACTTCAAATCTTACTCAGCCTTCCCATGTGCCTAAGGATAAGATGCTAGGTGTTCTGGCATCACACCTGCAATCCCAGAGGTACACAGGATGGAGACAGGAGGACTATCAAAAATTCAAGGCCAGATTGGGATACAGAATGAAGGCCTGATTCAAATAAATTACATAAATAGGCCTAAGTGTGTCAAGTTGACTATTTAGAAACAAAGAACCTTAGTTGTCTGAGACTTTAGGTTTAGGGATAAAATATTTTCCTCAGTGGTGTGGGCTTTAATACAATGATGTGAAAAGCAGCATGGGATAAATTCTATTCTCCTTCACAAATAAGGCTGAGTAAAGTATCCAATGTTTCTGGAGAGGCCGTGCCCAGGAGCTATCAGTGGCTTGTGTTGACCCCCTTGGTTTGGTATTAAGTAAATGAAGTCAATATTATTTTTCAGAGCAGACCTTCCAAGGATGAAAAGTAAAGTGTCACAAGACTATGAAACAACTTTCCTAGGTAGTGTGGGGAAGATGTTGCCCCAGATAACTTTGCTTCTCTTTTCTTTTTTACACATGTATGCGTTTGTACTGTGCATGCATGTTCACATGCTTGTTCACATGCTTGTGCATGCATGTGGTGGCCAACAGTTGATTTTGTGTGGTGTCTTTCTCAATCACTGTCTGCTTTATGTACTAAGACAGGATATCCTCCTTGAACCTGGACCTTACCGATTCATCTAGTCTAGGCAGGTTGCCCTGGGGATCCCCTGGTCTGAATTTATGTGGGTGTTGGGGGGGGCCACAGTCAATTCCTCACCCATGGGCAACAGATGCTTTCCCCTCTTAGCCATCTCCCTAGCCCTTGCTTTGGATTTTCTTTCGCAGCACGAAGGATCAGATCAGAACCCTGAATATGCTACAGTAGTGCTCTACCATTGATTAACTCCAGAGAAGAGCTGAGTCCCTGAGACTATAGATAAGAGAAACTGTGCGTGAGTACTGTAGTGAAGGATATGGTTGTTTCCTGGGAGGAGCAAGATAACAGTTCCAATATTGTTCTGTGTGCATGTTAGGAGCAAGTGACCAAGTGAATGGACGTCAGGACTTGCAAACCTGACGAGCCAGACCTTGCACTGGTGCATTATGGCTTAGAGCCATACTGTGAACAGTTAGCTTGGTAAGCTATGATTGATTGCATGCAGAAGTGGCTAAAGGTTTCTAGGGGCTAGTGAACAGACAACATGGCTTCGTTTCAAAGCATATAGTATGAAGGAGTGTGCCTAACTTACATTTGAGTGATCTGTGTACTCTCAGCAAGATGACCAGAGTCATGGTCAGCACAGGTAAGTCATGGGAGAGATTGTACTCTGGGGAAGAATTGATGACAAAATGACACAATCTCTTTGTTATTTGTCAAATCTATGGGGTCAGCAGGAACAAAATCTAAGCAGCTGTCAGTCAAGAAGAGCCTAAGAAGTTTTGAAAAGTAAAAGTGCTACAGGCAGAACATGGTGACACATACCTGTAATTCCAGAAGTCTGGAGGCTGAGACAGGCGGATCAAGGCCGAGGAGCATTACATGTTTTGATGCCTGACTATGATATATAGACTTTTTCTTCAAACAAAATGTCATATGGTAACTTGTATGTACTTGTGCACATATGTGATCTTGTAATCACTTCTAAAGAACCTGAGGTGGGATTCTGAGTTGAAGACTAGCCTGGACTATTTAGCAAAACCCTGTTTCAATAAAACAACAACAACAAAAATATTTCCAAAAGAAAAAGATTATTCAGGGAATCCTTTCATGTTCTGCTAAGTGTGACAGTCATGGTGACTGTAAAAGGGAAAGGAGCTGTGGGGTACAGAGGAACTTCTTATCTTTAAATGAGCTTAACACCTAAACTGTTTAAAATCAAGTCAACTTAAAACATAGCTGCAAACTTCAGAAGAGGCCGCCTTCCTGAAGCCCCCTGTATGCCCCACCCCCATAAGATTGCCCTACCACTTTTACTAAGTTACTTTGTTTTCTGAAGAATAAAAACCACCTTTTATTCTTCTTGGAAGTTGTCACTAGCTTGTTCACTATTATTCTAGTTCTAAAGGAGAGTTGCTGAAAGTAGAACACCTGGCGTCTGTCTTAGCCACTCAGAGCTCATGCCAGTTTTTTATTTTTATTTTTTATTTTTAAATTTTTTTTTGTTTTTTTGGTTTTTGGGGACAGGGCTTCTCTGTGTAGCCCTGGATGTCCTGGAACTCTCTGTAGACCAGGCTGGCCTCGAACTCAGAAATCCACCTGCCTCTGCCTCCCAAGTGCTGGGATTAAAGGCGTGCGCCACCACTGCCCGGCTAATGCCAGTTCTTGAACCTAAATGTCCTCTCTTGCCTGAGTCCTGGGATACTAGAGCACAGGAGACATTTCAGAGTGACTGATAGAGGAAATACTTATGTAACAATCCAGTGGCACACTTCTTAAATTGATGTTCACTTTATGTGCTGTGTGTGTGCCTTTTAAAGTAACATGATGAGAGCAATAGTGGACCAAGAATGTGTAACGGTGGTCCTTTCCTCTAAAGTTGGAGAGAAAGGAAACTTAACATGGTCCTCAGGATACCTAAGAAACTATAAAAAATGGACATCTATTTGAAGAACATGTGCTTTTCTTCATTTTCCTTGCATTTCTTAAGGCTTTTCCATTCCACTAAAGGAAAAATTACTTAAAACTAAGGCATCTCTTCTAGTAAGCCTCCCTTTCCCTGATGACCACGATGTGGTTGGGAAAGTGGCCAGCTGCTCCAGGAAGTCTGGGTTATTAGCTGATGATGTCACCAAATGAGAGTTGAGTGGATGAGATCTTGAGTTCAATGCACAAAACATAATTCAAAACTATAATTTAGGGGAATAAATAACCTGGGAAAATAAATATTAAACTTTAAACTTCCTTACAGCATTTGTGATGTTTCTTTGTTTTAGAAAAGGCCAGGGCAAAGCTAGTAAGTACTAACTTTTCTGGCATACTCATTCAATTGCTGGGCACACTACTCGTATTTTTAGATTAACATCAAAGCCAGATGTTAGACAGACATATTGCTTACCCACTGAATTAACTTTACTGCTTTATAGCTCACTACACAAAGAAGCTTTAAAAAGAATGAGTGGAAGAGCTCAGATTTCTGCTTGAGTGTTTTTATTTAATATTCATACATACATATATAATGGGCTTGGATATAACTTTCACTCCTTCCTCTCTAGTTCCCCCCAACCCTCTCCACCACCTTCTCTCCCTGTATCATATATTCTCACTCCCTCTTCCTTCTTCCTCTTTCCTCTCCCGCTCTACTCCCCCCTCCCTATCTCCCTTCCTGCTTGTCACTCTTCTCTTCTCTTCCTCTTTCCCCTGCCTCTCCCTCACTTACTTCCTCTGCCCTATT